TCTTTGAAGACTGCAACTCTGTCATTGTACTAAAGTAAGCTTCAAAGTATTTACGAAGCAGCTGCAAAGTAGAGGTCTGTACGTAGTACTGGCACAGGCCACAGCGTGACAACATTACATTGCATTTAAAATTTTAATTGCCTTAACTATTCAAGGTGTCCTAGGGTTTAAAAATCCCTTGTTAGCTGTCTACAGTTTCATTTCTGCTTTGTTTGCAAAATAAGCACCTGTGTTCATGTATACATTTCTGGTAGCTTTTTGTTTGGTTCTTATCCCAAACTTTTCTTTTTCTTTTTAAAGAGGTTCGAGCTTTAGAAAGGCAGCTGGTGTAAAGCAAATGCTTCTGTCAACCACAGAGTTTTGTAGTTTGAGTAGCTTGTGTCTTAGTTTTGCAGTATTTTCTGACCTAATTGGGGCTTGCACTCTCTGTTTCTTGGATGAAGTAAGAGGGATTCCCTTGTTCATTCAACCCTTGGCTCTCTTCAAAGATTTACATATAACATTTTCAACTGCCTTTGACTTTGGTTTTAATTAATAAGTTAATTGGAGCATCAAAAAGCCACCGTTTCCTTTTCACAAGCAACAGACCCAGCTTTTAACCACAATGTTCTTTAAAAAATAATACCTGTTAAATATGTTGGTTTTGCAAATAAAACTAGTCAGAGGCCTCAATTCTCTCCGGTGGTAACTTTTGAGGACTGGAAAATGTCATTTCACATTGAAACACATATATTTAACAGACCAGTTTCAGCCTGCCTGTCTGTCTGTCTGAGAGGGTTTCTGACTCAGGTCTTCTCTCTCAATTCAAAACTTATGGGGCACCTCAATTTCTGAAACTTTCCACTTAGAGAAATCAGAATTAGCATATCTCTTGAAGGCTTGCCTTTAGTCTTACTGAGTCTTAAGCAGTTCTATTTTCTTTGATGGCTACAGTGACAAATTTGGATCAACGTAGGGCATTTGCCAAAATTATTCCTACTTTTCTCTGTCTGTATTCATAAAGCTGGGTGTAGGGCTTTGCCCTCCCCTCCTACCTCCTTTTACTAAATGGCCTGTGTCATCCTTTCCCAACAAATTTTCAGCAGCGGTATGTGCACAAGGGACCACATGGGGATGGTTTCTTGTTACACATGTGTAAGACCTCGAGTTATGTACTTTACCATAGTTGAATGGTTTGAGGAAAAGAGGAATCTGATGAAGTTCCCAGGCTCCTATTGCCCCTGCAGCTTGTATCCCAGATGATGATCTACTGGGCTGTAGGCTGGAAAGCTTTATTTGTATGCAATCTGTGCCAAGGCGATGTCATGCATCAGGATTTGAACTTTGGGAACACTGCTGCGTTGTTGGCTGCAACCTAGGCATGCTTTCTCTTAGGTGGTGCCGACACTGCGGACCATGTGGCAGCGTGGCCATCAGGTGATAGTCTCGTACGAAGAGGATCTGGAAGTGGAGGAGCACTGTGAGCTGTGGCCTGCGATCCCATATTGGTGGGGAAACAAAACTACCACTCGCGCTCTTATCCAGTATTTGGAGCGCATGAAGCGGATGGGCCGTCCAGGTAGGCACAGGGAGTCACTCGGGGGAAACGAGGGGCACATACAGCAATGCAAGTTGGGTGTTTGTAGCGTTACGGGTTAGAACCACTTTGCACATGCTGTGTGCATGAGGCGTGCTGGGTTGCTGAGTGCTCTGCCCACACAGGGGCGAATGCAGCATTGGTCTCTGATGCTGTAAATATGATGTGCATCAGTGTATGTGCGTGCATAGACTAGATAAATTGTGGCAACCGCTTCACTTGTGTGATCCCGTGCAAAAGCAGCCCTCAGCACAGACCCTGTCATGCCCTTCGCACAGGTAGGAGGCAGCTTCCTCAGCCCAGTGCTTGCCACTTTAGACAGCGCTGCTTGTGAGGGCAACGCGCTATGCTAGTCTTGTGGTGAAAAGAAACACCTACAAGAACAGTGCATGAAGGGTGTAGCTACATCAGGAAACAGCAGCGCTCAAGCATGCTGGTGTAGGCTAAGCTGAAAGAAATTCAGTTCATAACCTCTGGTGCAGCTCTGTGATGCACATGCATGGGGTGACAAAGGGGAGAACTGTTTCAAAAGCCTACTCCCCGGCCAAAGGAAATCGCTTGTGTAGGTGCAACCTGTGTTCCTGTCTGCCACAGGGGAAGGCTACGCGTTTGGAACCAACCCTTACAGAAACAAACGTAATCTACAACGGAGAACTAGTTAGTGGAGAACCTTTAGTCTGCAATGAATGATTTAGGTAAATTTAGCTAAATTGGAATGGTTCAATAACAGAGCTTGGTTCAGTAACTATTTACTACAGCACACAGTTTCAACAAGGGGAGAGTCTCCTGAAACAGTTCTAGCGATATGAAACAATACAGAAAGCTTGTAAAGTTGGTGTTGTAGTGATTTCCAAAGGAATGAGATCTGGAGTTAATGTAATGCTGAGCAGTTTCTGTTCTCAGAGGAATATTTAATGTGTCACCTTCTGATTTTTTGTTTCAGAAAAATTCTTTGTAGCAGGGATTAACCTTACTGAAAACTTAACATATATTCTCGTACACCCATTTGGATCATTGAAGAAAATGACACTCCACAGTCTTCCATGCTTGAAAACCTGGATAAATCAGCAGTACCCAGGACCAGAGAAAAAATGTATTAACATCGTTGCTGGAGACTTCATAGGAAACAACGATTTTGTCAAAGATGTGATAGAACTTAACACAAAAATTAATCCTCTGTTACACTGTCCAAGTATAGGGTCTGGAACAAACAGCACTTTGTTCTCAGCTTCTTAATCTGTGAAAAGCTGAAAAAGCTTTGTCTACATTTAATGTGTCCTGGTGAAACATTCTGGATCCCATAAATGTCCAGTTAACTTTAAAACATTCCTGGTATAAGACTCAGAACAAGACGCGCTCTCAACATCATCAGGGTTCTAGGCCTTTTCATAGGAAAGAATGAAGGCAGACCTTGCTGAAGTTTCTAGAGAATTATGGTATAGGTATCATTTACTTGGGCATGCTTAGATTCTGTAGCAGTTGGCAATATTAGAAAGTTTCAAGAACTTAATCTTATTTTACATATGAGCAAGAAGGAGAAATATGTCAGTAGTTGCACGAATTATTTAGTGATAAGATTTTAGCTTTCTTATAATTGTAAAGACACTCTGCACTACTTGCAGTCCCAGTTCGCAGTCTTTTCTATCAGTGTGAAAATGACTTGTCCATTTTCATAGTTCATGTTAAATATACAAAAGGAAAGGTTTACAAATATTTTTGATATAGCAAAGATACTGTATTGACAATGTTATTTGACATGATTTTTTTTATATATATACCAACACATCATAAACAGTGGACATCGAGAAGCAGCTGTCCTGTTGTGTGCAGAATGTCAGTTGTGAGCCACTTTACCAACAGGGTAGTCACAAAAATGTGTATGATTTGGAAGACGTATGTCTATTTGAACTTATTCTTTTTATTACTCAGGCCAGTTTTGCAACGATAAAGATACCAAAACTAGGCCCCAAGATAGTTTTGTCTGTGATAATGAAGTATGCTTTATTAGGGTGTTGCCAAAATATGCCTTACATTGAAAATAAACAAACACATATAGAACTAATTCCTTATCTAAACTCAGACTACTCTAAAAATAGATTCTTAGCTTCTGTCATGCTCATTTGGGGGTTTCACAACTGGTCCTTTATTTACCTATTTTAGTAACTCTATAGTCAATTTTTCCTCTCAATAAGTATTTTTTTCTTAGATAAAACCTAAGGATTTTATGTTGTTTGCCATTGCATATTAATCCTATTTTTAAAAATGAACTGTGCAATAACAAATGATCATGAAGGTAAGAGAAAGGGCAAGCATCAGGACTGAAACAAAACCAGGCATTGTATAAAGTTCTCTATGCAGCTTAATTGATATACCTCACTTTTTAGATGCACTTTATATGCAAAAGCTGAGTTCAAATGTCTGTCAAGATATTACTGTTTGCGGAAGATGTTTGCTGAAGTTTGAAAACAACTGCTACATCAGATCAAACTCACCCTAGACTTCTCAGCATGAAAGGTTAAGATGCTACCTCCTCATACAATCTCTTGCAAGGGCAGAACATGCAGAAGTGAAAAACCAAACATTCAATTTATAAGCAAGACATTCCAAATGCTTTTTTTACAGTGCTTTTTATTCTTGTTCTTTACAGTGCTTTTTTATTCTTGTTCTTACCTCTGTGTACCACACTGAGCCGTCATTCAGTTGTGATTTTTTTTAATAGAGTTACTGCCTGCATTAAGTGTTATGTTACACAAACTCAGAATGTTTTTCTCCCTCTCTTTTGTACCTTCAAGTGGCTTGTTACTATATCTAATATACACATATATATTAAAAATATCTGTGTGTAATATGGTCTGAAACAGTTTTGCTTCTCCTTTCTGTGATGCTGATTGTTTTATTAGTTCCCAATAGTAATTCATAACTCAGGTAATGGATCAGGTTTTGTGTGTTTTTTTTTTTTTATTTTATTTGTGAAATTATTCCACACAAAATACATGGTTTGCTGTAGCTTAAATGTTTTCTCTTTAAGAAGTTAACACAGCAATAGGTACTGTGGATAAATTACTGTAGGCGAGAAAACTGTATGGGTAAAAGATGTTCCCAGCTAACTTTATTGCTTAAATATACAAATCCACGGTTTTTTGCTTCACTGCAATAAGGCATGGCTATTATTTTACTTAAATATGTATTCAAGCAGAATGCATTAACCTATCTGTATTATTTATGTACAGCCAACAACATTTTGCCCGCTAACTTTCCTTCTCCAAGGAATATATAATAAATACTGTCTTATTCTGAAAAAATGGGTAAAAAACTTCATGATATAAGAAATTTGGTATTTTTCTGAAGGTTAATTCAGATGCCATCCAGTGATTTCCATGTGTTTAAGGTCCACACCTTATAGCCAACAGCTGTTTCAAGATTAAAAATTTAGTGCTGTCCTTGCACTTGCTGACAGAATGAAACTCAAAGCTCTTATTGTTTCCAAACAGAAGTTTTTTGAAACAATATCCATTGCTAAAATGTGTCAAAAACATCAACTCAACATACTCTTCAACACCCAGGTTAACAGGTCTTTAACTTCATTTCACATCCTCTTAATGAGATCAGTTTCTTTTCCTAGAAAAGGATGCACTTTCATGGCACAAAAATCTTACTGTTAGGAAAGAGGTTTTTGTATCTCCCAAAAGCAGAATTGCCAATTATCACCTTCACCCTGGCTGTGCCATCTTCAGGCATGACTTCTACTTCCTGAACTGTTGCTTCTTTATAGAGCCAACTGTAAAAGTAAAAGCATATTAGTATCTTAAAGGTATGACATACTGCATAAAATGTGATTTTTGTTTTAGGTCAACACGTTCCAGTCTAGGTAATTTAACACTTTAAGATGAAGCGCTTCACTTAACTTTCACTTGCTACTTGCTGTTTGGAAATAGGGTAGAGCGTTTTATAAATCTTTCAGATTTGTGCTTTTATCAGAAATCTGGCTCCAGGACCACTGGCATGGTCTTTCAGAAAGTATGTTTTATTGTACTAACACACAGAACTCTGTGAAGGACACTTTCAGAACCAGACTCTAGGATATCTAATGAGGATATTTTTTCTGAATAGGTCAGAAAACTTTAAGAATTACAGGGATAATTATCAATGTGGATTAAAATCAGCATGATATGATTTGGAAATTTTAAGACATGCAAGACTAAGTTTCCTATTTCTCCAGGTCCTTACAATTCAAAATCATTTACCTTAGCTGAGGTCCCTCTAAGTTGACAGTAACTGTCAGAATCTTCTTCCCTGTTGCTGTCAAAATTTTCTTCTCTATTTCTTCTTTCAGCTCTTCTAAACCATGTCCATGTAGAGCAGAAATGGCTAAAGCATTTTCTTCAGTGGGTTTATACCTGAAAGGTAACAATTGCTAGCACATTTACTCATGAAGGTTATGTTGTGATATAATATTCCAAGCATGAACAACTTAACTGTGTTACTTTATAATAGCACCTTCCTACAGAGGCCACATATTGGATAACTGAAGTGATTTCTTTTGTAATTAAAAGATAATTAATTCTTTTTAAAACCACAGTTACATATGTAAAAGATTGAGAAACACTATTAAATGTATTCAGAAGCATGGGAGCTCTTTTCTGGACTAAGAATTAAAAAGCTTCCAGAACATAAATGCTTAAGTACACTTGGCATCTCCTGCTTACCTTTCTATCAAATCCACTTTGTTATGAACTTCTACCATTGAGTCCAATAAGTGGCTGGGAAGATTAAGATTCTTCAGAACTGACAGAACAGTTGCTTTCTGGAGGATGGTATCTGGATGAGTAATATCCCTCACATGAACTAGCAGATCCTAGCAAGCATCAATATACAAGACAGTTACTTAATGAAACACATCAGTTACCAGGTTCCAGAGATTTTATACTGTTTTGGCATTGCTAGTTCATATAGGATACTTTCCCATCCATTAGATAACGCCCTGGCAGGTTAACACTGTGAAATTAACTACTAACACAGTATTAAACCAATACTGTTTTTTGTACCATGGTGGAAGTAAATCTGCAGCAGCTTAGTCTTTCACTTCACAGTGAGTACAAATTGCTTCCAACAACCCTGAAACAAACCCTGTCAATCAAGCTAGTTACAGAATTCAGATTTCAAATAATAACTGATCCAATTTTTCAAAGTCAAGCCTGTGTAACAATAAGGCTTCAAAAATACTGGAGGAAAAAAAAGAGTGAACTCTTAAAAAGGTTTTAGAAGGGTAATGGCTGAAAAACTGTTTCAAAAGTGGGGGGAAAAAAGCCCATGAAACTTGTAGTTCTCTTTTTACATTCAAAATGCAGAAGATTCTCCTTATCCTTAGCTCCTGTGATGCTATTACTGGTGCTTCACTTAGAAAGCTTTATACAGAAGTTATCAGTTTCAAGTACATACACGATCATGTCTGCCATGATAAAAACCAAGCAATCAAATTCAATATTTGCATTCAAAGCGTTTTGTCATTTTTGCTCAAGATACTCCTTCTAACTTCTAAAAATTACTAAGAAGTAAATTTCTTGCCTTTCACTTAACACTTCAGAACAAGAGACAAACAGGATAGTTGCAGACAGCTTTTGAAAGTCCTGTTATTACATGGCAAAGAGCTGAATCCTCAGAAGCATTCTGGCATCCAGCTACCGCTGAATTCCGTAAGCTTTAATGATATAGGCTTTTTATTTAAATGTCTGTGTATATGCAGCTTTACACTTTGCTATAACACAGGAAACTAACTTTAATGAAAAAATCATTGGAAAAGTATATTTATATTCCATACTGCCTGCATCACATCACAATCACCATCACCCACTTTCAGTGCTATATAGGAAACCTTAAGCTAAAACCACATCATTCCAGAGGGTTTATTTCACTTTTAACTCTCAAGAAAGCTAGCCTCAACTTATTCTCATGCCTTGTTTAGGTTTTCATATATTTAATCTGCTAAATCTGATTTATCTGGTTTACGTATCATGGAGAAGGACCCATATATTCCAAATAAACCCTGTCCAAAATCTCTTCATATCTATGTATTCTGAATAATTTCAAATGTCATAAAATTGGCTTATGGTAAGATATTTACCTCTTTATCTTAGAAGACTACTATAGTCAGCCAGATGCTTCACTAAGAACAGCATGCCAGTTAACTTCCCCTTTTTTGAAGGGGTGAGGATTATCCTAAAGAAAATTAATTTGATTTCTCAATTTTTACTGTCAACTACTTACTGAGTAAGCCACTTCTTCTAATGTAGCTGAAAAGGACTCAACGAGATTATGTGGAAGATCAGTCAGAAACCCAATAGTATCAACATAAATAACTGCCATATGCGAGGGCAGATAGCCAGCATGGGCTGTAATATCAAGAGTGGCAAACAGCTGATCTCTGGGCTGAAGTTCTGCTTCACCAGTCAAGGCTTTGATCAAGGTAGTTTTTCCTAATTAAAGAAAAAAAGATAGGATTTTAATGGCTTGTTTCAAGTAAAAATTTAATTTGCAAGGCACAAATGAGTTGTATGATGCAACATATCTTTTCATATCTATTTCAGCGATTTAAATCTAGCCTATGATTAGTATTCTATATGATGTTAGGAAATCCAAAGACAGTCTTAACTTTTATAACTTGGAACTGGATTTAAGGCCACATCTGGAAGCTATGCTACAAAATCGCAAGATGATCAGAGACTGAACTGACCTGCAAAGTGATCTACCCACACCTCTCACCTCTAAGACTATCTGAAGAGCATTGCTGTGACAGCAGTAGGAAGCATACACTTACATACTCCTCAGTGCTTCTGTTGTCAAATAATTCAATATTTACTTGTTAAACCCAACAATAAACAGAAGCACTAATAATGTAGCTTGTTATGTTTATCACTCTCTACAACTACCTAACAGGAGGTTGTAGTGAGGTGGGTGCTGGCCTCTTCTCTAAAGTAATAAGTGATAGGACAAGAGGAAATGGCCTCAAGTTGCACCAGGGGAGGTTTAGGCTAGATATTAGGAAAAATGTCTTCACTGAAAGAGTGATCAGGCATTGGAACAGGCTGCCCAGGGAAGTGGTGGAGTCACCATCCCTGGAGGTGTTCAAGAAACGTGTAGATGTGGTGCTTAGGGACATGGTTTAGTGAGTTAGGTGGTGTTGGGTTGACGGTTGGACTTGATGATCCTTGAGGTCTTTTCCAACCTTAATGATTCTGTGATTCTATGCTTTAACTGTGCATTTCCTCATGAATATAATACTTAGAGACATTTATTCAACTCAATATTTCACAGAACTTAGTCCTTGAACTAATGTGCTCAGTATATATAAAATGCTCAGTTAAAGTATTTCAATTACATGTACAAAATGGAAATATATATATTTTTTGTTGAATCTTCAGTTTTAAAAGTATGGAAGTATGACATCTAAGAAAAACATATACTGTAATCCAAATCTTTGAGCATATAACCAACAACAAAATTAGTGCAAGGTAAGTTTGTTTCTATAAAGGTGTTGAATAAAAAAATGAAATGGTCTTAAGACAATGTAACCTGAAAAAAGTCTGTAGTCCAAAGTCTGTTTATGCCTTGTGTATGAATTCACTTGTGTAAGCTATTAAAAAAAGAACAGCAAAAACCTTCAGCTTTATCTAGATTCTCTTATGAATGCATCTCAGAACACTACACATCAATCAATGAAAAGCTACAGTGCTTCTGAAGCACATTTCTCGGAATAACTGACAACTCTCCTGAGTTTTCCTCCTATGCCTCAAACCCCCCCATTGATCTAAAACCTCAGGTATTTCTCTCAACCCATTCTGGTTAAGTAAGAAAGATTCATATAAAGGGACACTAGCAGTACAGTCTTCATCACTACTTATAAAATCTTTTTTAGCACAATAGATGCTAGGCATTTCTCCAAAACACATCGTCAAGACTGAAACAAACAAACAAACAAACAAACAAAAAAAATCTAACTACAACAAGCATCATTTGCTTTCCTAACTATACCCTAATTGACATATATTCATTACACTATTTTAAAACTAATTAAAATACAAAGCCTATTCACACTGAAATGAGATCCTGGCTAGAGTTTCTAATAAAAAATTAGACAGTGAAAGCTCTTTCATGTTACAATTTCACGAGTTTTTGCTTACCACAGTTAGTATAGCCCATTACTGAGATAATTGGAAATTCGCGTTTCCTGCGCTGAGTTCTAAGTAAAGACCTTTTTCTTCTTAGTTTCTCCAGGGCATTCCTAATTTTAAGTTCTTTTTCTTTCAAGAGACGATTCTGTGTCTCCATGAATGTTTCGCCTGAAAAATACAAATGAATAATGGGCAGAATAGTCTACAATGAGAAACAGTGAGGTAGTGATGTTGTGCATTTGGAAACCAAGTGAGTTAGCACTAGGGCGTATGAAGCTATAAATAAGCAACTAAAACTATGTATTCTTGCATAAGACAAAGTCCTAGCGATAAGTAATTATTAAAATATATGCTAAGCACTCTAGAATAATCATGTGCGCTTACGATAAACCCCTGTGCCAGCAAATACTCTGCCCATGGCCACTTACAGAGCCAGAACAGATGAAAACTTTATTATTTAAGTTACTTTCCAGTTATTTTTTGTATGTTCACTTACTTAGATGCAGAACACAAACAGTTCTTCCTCTCTGCCTTCTCCAAACAAAATAAGATGCAATTAAATTTGTTTAATGGCTATGGAGAAAAAAATCCTTTAACTCATGAGAACATTTACTTTACCTGAGCCCATGATGTATCTTGATCCACCTCTCTGCTGATCTAGGTGAGATACCTCATTTCTCAGATTTGACCTGACAGTGGAGTAACAGTTAATTAGAAGCTATTTTCTTTAATCAAGCTATCCTAAAATGCCTAATAAATGTGAAGCAGTAGCAATATTCTAATAGTACAAATAAAACCACTAAATGACAGAGCTCTAAATAAAACGTGCTCACTGCGAGAAGCCTGGCCAAAAAAAAAAAAAAAAAAGTATTCCAGATTTCCCTGGCTCTTCAACTGTTATTTGAAAAATCATGCAACTCTCTTAGCAAACTCTAATGGCTATTCTGACATTTCGGAGAACCAGAGATGCCCCTGATACATCCAAGCAACTTACACCAACTTCCATGTACAAATATTTCTATGCTATGTAATGTAGAAATGTGGAAAATTCAGGCACAAATTAATGTCTTCCTTGTTTATAGCATTCCTTATTAAACCCACCAATATTATATATGGGATACACATATCAAATTCCTACACATTCTTGCAATCCATCTTCTGCATTAGAAAGAACCTGAACCTTTTCATGAGAAATATATTTTCTAAGATTATCTACTGAACATGTTCTGGTTTTGCCTGCCATCAAAACAATGACATTAAAGCAAATATTTCTATGGTCTAATCGATCATTGAGCACACTATGCAAGCACTGAAACAGCGACATTTTTCTTTACAGTACAGTATTACCATTTTTGTTACTGTAAAGAAATAGTCACTAAACTACATAAATATCAGTATGTGTTTTGCACAGGTACCTGAGAAGTGGAATTTCGGCCAACGCTATCTGAAGTTTTGCTTCTTTGGTCCGGGCATTACAACGAAAAATGTGAAGTACAACTGTGTATCTGTCAAAGACTTTCACGCCCCAGGCATCTTCTAGTTCTTTCTTTAGCCATGTAAAACAAAATAAGCTAGATGTTTTCTGTCCCTCTCAGTATCAGTAGATCAATTCCTACACAGCACTACAGTTACAATTAGGTGATGGACACTTGAACTCAGAGGATCTCAGGATTCCATTTCAATGGATAGGTAAGAACTGTATGTCTAAGCCCATCTAACTCAGTGAGAATCCTTCCATTGCCTTTAACGAATTCTGACAACAACTCTTAAAGCTGTCCTGGGTTAAGCAGAGTGTTAATTTTTTTTTTTCCCCTCTTCTTCATAAATAGCTAGCAAGAGTCTGTGTTTTGGATTTATACTCAGGAGAAGAGCTGACAAGAATGATGTTTTGTGCTGCTGCCAAGGACAGCAGACCAGGGAAGAAGGACGGCCGCTTGCTAGCATAGGATTTGCTCTTAGGTCACAACTGAAACTCAGAACAGCCAATAATTTATTCCATATCATCCACATCATACCCATACATCATAGGTGAGGACCCTTCCGGGAGAGCTCTCTCTCTCTTTTGCCTTCGCTTCGCTTTCAGTTTCGGTGCTCTCTTCTGGCTCTGCATCGCTCTCTCAAGGCCTTTCCCTCCCCCCACACACACCCCAGTCAGTTCTCAGTCTGGGATGCTTGAATTGTTATCTCCGTTCAGTGAGTTTTGGGATCCTCCCTCTCCGGGGGGATGGTTAGCTGGGGCCAGGTGGTCGTTTTCCCCCCACTCTGGTCAGCTCTCAGTTCTGAGACACTGGGACTGTTATCTCCGTTCTGTGAGTGCCTCCGGGAGCGGTGCACCCCCTGTCTGGGGGAATTGTGAGTGTAATTCTGGGATCGTTAGCCAGCAACAGGCTGAGCCTTTGGTCATCA